ATGAACACCTGGAACAATGTTGGGGACAGCGTGCAACCTTGTGGGACCCCCTGCTCAATGTCGAAGAATTTTGACAGTTCTCCGTCTAGCATGACCGCGCTTTCGTACACTCTGTCAACTTCTTCAGCACTCTCCACATGTTCCCCTTGATCCCGTATTTGGACAGTTGTTTCCACAACCCATTTCTCCATACGGTGTCGTATGCCTTTTTCACGTCCAGGAAGAAGCAGTACGTCGGCTTTCCCGCCCTCTTTCTACCTTGGATGATTCTCCCTACCGTGAACACGTGGTCTACGCACCCCCTCTTCTTGCGGAAACCTGCCTGGCCCTCACTAATGCTATGTTCCTTCTCCAATACTCCCACTATCCTATCGTCCAGGAGCTTACAGAACACTTTTCCTACTGTGTTCAACAGTGTGGTCCCCCGGTAGTTTCCTGGGTCAGTCTTGTCTCCTTTCTTGAACAAGTTCAAAACCACTCGTTCCCTCCATCTACTTGGCGTATACTCGTTTTTCCACGCCCATTTGTACAGCAGTACCATCAGCTGGATCATCCCCTTCCCCCCAAACTTCATGAACTCGTTGACTATCCCATCCGCTCCTGCTGCTTTGTGGCACTTCAGCTTGTTCACACACGCCTCAACCTCGTCCTCAGTGAACTCCTTTTCTAGTTCTACGTTCCCAACGTCTGCCTTCGATGTCTCTTCTTCTTTTTGGGCCCATGCGTCCACCTCCTTCTTAAACGCTTGGTCAAAAGCTTCATTCTCCGAGGGCACTCCAAGTCTCTTGTAGTGTCCTGCTAGAACTTCCCTTTTTCCCTTCCCACTGCTGACTAATCCACCGTTCACACCTCGCAAAGTTGCGACCCCTGTATCCCCCCCTTGCGCGGTCTTTTTTACCATTCCACTAATCCCTTCCCACATCTGCTTGACGTTTCCCTCCAGACCTCCGTTGGCCTTCTGCACTACTTCGTCCCAAATACACTTTTTCTTCTTTTTCACTAGTCCCTTCACCTGTTTTTTCTTGGCCCTGTACTTTTTCCAACTCTCCTCAGACGCCTCACTCAGGTACTGCT